TGGATTTATATGCTAATTAGTCGTAACTTGGAATTGATGTTAATTATAGACAATAAAGGTAGGTTGAAACTCACGACCTAAGTGCATTAAAGAGAAAAATTCTAATTATCAGGACAATCCATCATCGGTAAGTATGGACTAATATGTTGATCGTGCTGATTAAGAAACAATTTTATTTTGTTGATTAATCAATTTTACAATAATTGTAACCAAATGCCACCTGCATTCTTTTGACGAACGTACCTCTTACACTACAAGAAGTAAACTCCAAAATTTTCAATTAAGTAGTTGTATTATTGCTGAAGAAAATTCAAAATGTGACTACTGATTAATTATAAGAGTGCAACACCGACCCTACGACCAAAACCAAAACATAAATGTTCAAACAAAGAACGAAATACAAAAGAATAATCAACGTAATCGGCATTGCATTTTTTTTCTCTTACGAGGATGATATGCCATACAGTTTAAAGCACATGGTTTTAATTTAAACAGAAAAGTAGAATGATGAAGATGGTTAATGGTGTTTTATGGACATATGACATAATATTATCAATTAGTATAAACACTTATTACAACACGAACATATTAGTGATATCATTTGGTATCATGATTGTCACACAAAAAAATTATTCGCTATTTTCCTACTATTTTTCTTTTCAAATGCATATGCAATATAATTAAGATTAAGCGGTATAATATTTGATCGTAGAAGAATTACAATGCACATGCAATATAACATTAAAAGAAAAAATAGTATTTCATCCTAGCTAGAATAAACATTAATACGAGGAAAACTTTCTCTAATGATCAATTTCAATAGTACCAACCTAATGAATTTGAATGCAAAGTTAAAATAATTTAGAGACACGCAAATCAACTAATCATTCAACCACTAAAACAACATTTACTTGAGCCACCAATATAGATCAACATCACGACAATATAAAGCATCAAATTCATACCGAAAGAAAATAAAAAACTCTCATGGTGCAAAACACATGGCAACTTAAGCCCAATTTCTATACTTTTTTTTTTTTCAAAAAAACATACTAAAAACTAAAAATCTTAAAACTCCCAAATATTCATGTACATGTGCAAAACCCATGTAATATTGCAAAAACTCACGCTATTATATATGTACTCAAAAAATTAGTTGGGTTGTCATGATTAAACGTTGTATGCAGGGTCAACTTACCATATACATCTTAGTTGATAAGCTCCTTCTTAATTACTTTTTGTTGATAAAATTAACTCCTTAATTACCTTTTTTGATAAAGTCCTGAAGCTGTGAAGTTGGTCATGTCCGATCAAGTGTCTAACTTTAACCGATTTCTTGTCTTGATGGTCGAAGCATGATAACGATTAATTCCTCATCGTTAACGTTTTTTACCCCAAAAAAAAAAAAAAAACAACGTTAACGTTTATGCGCAAAATGATGTTGTAGGTGAAGAAGTTGAAGTTCTACTATAAAACTAATTGACAAAAATGGAGAGTAGTCTAATTACTTATAAGCACATGCAAGGTCCCATCTCTTGTCAATGTGGAATTCATTCTCAACCGTATGTGCCTTGGTTGGTGAAACTTTAAACTTCAAACAATTAAGGTAGCTCATTGTGAGGCTTGGCCGACTCCTAACCTCCACCCCTTTAATGTAAATACTGTTTGTTAAAAAAAAAAGGTAAATTAACTTTCATACACGTTAAGTATGCACAAAAAATGATGTACAGATGATAGGGTTTTTGAAACCAAATCCCTTAAATTATTGTAATAGTTTCGTACTCTCCCCATCTCTTTAATAATAGTAAAAATAAAAAATAAAAAAAATTAAAGAATGACTAAACAATCTCATATTTTGTTCTTTTATTTTTTATTTTTTATTTTAAAGGGGACAACTAGTGGCAGTCCATGGTTCCACTCCTGCAGAGCCCAGAGAGGCTATAGGGAATTTCACCATGTCCGTGGCCACAGTCAAATAGACTCACCAATTCGGAGTATCGAACCTAGGACCTCTCACTTTTTTTTTTTGTTTAGTCAATTTATTGTAATAAATAAATACATGGTTTATAATGTTTTACGGATTCCAACTTTATATTTTCTATCCATGCATTCCGGATTCGAAACTCCACATCCCTTAAATTATTATAATAGTTTCGTACTCTCCCCCTCTCTCTAATAATAGTACAAAAAAAAAGACTAAACAATCTCATATTTTATTCTTATTTTTTAGGGGGACAACTAGTGGCAAGCCATGGTTCCACTCCTGCAGAGCCCGGAGAGGTTATGGAGAATTTCATCCTACCCGTGGCCACAGTCAAACAGACTCACCAGCTTGGAGTATCGAACTAAGGACCTCTCACATTTTTTTTGTTTATTGGGAAGTTGCAGTCTACGCTCTTACCACTAGGCCATTTATTGTAGTTAATCTCATATTTTATTGAGTTTTACATGAAATTTTTTATCGAATCATTCATAATATATATGATTTTAATTATAAATACAAAATTTTATGAATCAGTCAGGAACTGTTTTGTGAAGGAGTGGAGACTTGTGTAGTTGTTTGAGCTATATGCTCTGTCGATTCCAGTAATTAAATCTGTAAACTCGAAAGACGAACCTAGCAATTGTAAAACCAACAAAAAACAATTATATTAGTTTGCATGCAATTTTATTCCTGAGAATAATTTTATGGGGCATTTTGATATAGATGCCTCAAATTTGAATTCTTTTTAATCAAACATCTATAACTTTTAAATTTTTGATCAAACATTCTTCTACTAATTTTTAATTAAAAATTATGATTTTTATTGTATTTAATTAACCAACTAGTTCAGAAAATAATATCATAAATATTCTAAAATCACCACAAACATCATATCTTATCTTATCATAATTCGTTCAAAATGAAATTTTCTTATTCAAATAATTTGTTGTTTTAAATTCTAAAAACACAAAAACATCCTATTAACATACAATTATGAAATATAACATGCACATATATTAAATATAACGTACCAAATAGATATATTAAATATAACGTACCAATCATTTGGTACGTTATATAAATTTAATCTGGGTACGTGTTAGTATTTTGGTATGTTATAAAATATTGCTTTCGGTACGTTATGCAATTCTTTATTTAGTACTTACCAAATTATTAGTACGTTGTATTATCCTTATTTTGGTACGTAAAAAATTATGGTACGTTATGTGTAAGTTGTGTAACCCAAAAAAAAACGATAACTTTTCACATTAAAACATTGCACTACAAAATATTTTGTCAACTCTTAATAATTAATTATTGGAATAAGGACTCATTTTAAATAAAAATAAAAATGTGAAAACTCTTAGTTCACGTTTCTACTATAAGTAGTTGTCAAAAAATTCAAATTTATTTTCAGTTGCATGAAATTAGGCAGTCTAGTCTACATCTCAATTTTAATTATAAACGACTCTTGTTTTTTTATAATCTATATTAAATGTTGAGTTGGAAATTGAAAAAACTATATTTCATCCAATTAATCTTGAAGTAGATATAATTGAATCCTTAAATTGATGAAGGGATGAGATTCCATAAAAATAACATTAAATTAATGAATATTATTAAGTGCAATTTTATTTTTTTTACATAGAAATGGATTTAAAAGAATTTATAAAATACTTAAATTAAGAATATACCTGGAATATAAAATTTAATTAAAAATAAAAGTACTTTAATCAAAAGTTGAAAAGTAACAGATGTTTAATTTAGAAAAATTTAAAATAAGGCATCTAATTTTAATTTATCCTAATTTTACATTCTAATGGATAAGCTGATGACACATCTGTTCTGCTTTATACTTATTGACAGTAACTGCACGTACTGCAGTACAATATCATTTTTCCAGAAAATGATACGTTTCTTTGAATATAAGCAAAGGTGAGTCAAGAGAAACCATTTGATTGTATCGTGCAAAAACCATTTGATTGTAGTTATTTAATATATAGTAGTACTAATCAAACAATTTGATTGTATTCTAGTAGGTCAAGAGAAACCATTTGATTGTATCGTGCAAAAACCATATATCAAGTTAGCAGTAAAAATGGAATTAAGGATTCCGGAAATGTTGGGGTTCATTTGGACAAATGGATTCCGCTCTACACGTTTAGATAAATATATTCAATATTATAATGTCAAATTGTTTGCTTAGACTATTATAATCCATATATATGTCAAAGAGAAAACGGAAGAAAAGAAATGCGTGTCAAATGACACGTTACAAGTAATTATTTCAGATACATGCAAAGTATTAGTCATTTAAAGTATGTTCAGGTTTTTTCGTTAATGTTGCAAACTGAGCCTCATTATCATATCCAAATAATTTCTTTCAAACCCCCCCCCCCCCAATTCAAGTGGAATTATATTTAACTCTTCAAGCAATCATTAGGGTTTTTCTTTTTTAAGATCTTCTTCTACGGAATAATCTCATCTCTAGTCCTTCTAGACTGTAGAGTTTGGTTGTGAATTGAATTTTTACTCCAAATGTAGCCAAGTTCTTTGATTAAAAAAAAAAAAAAAAAAACTTTTTAGGCGATGGGAAAAGTGATGATCTCCATCTGGAAAACGATAAAACATACTAAAGTGAAAAGCAAAACCTTGCACTTGCGTTTACCCTTTTTTCAAACCTTATCAGGTGGACCTCCACCTCCATCAAAGTTGGACAATTAACTGTTTCTATAAAGCTAGCTATCAGTCAACGCATGAAGCAGAACACAGTCAGCTACACTTCAAAACATTTGATCTATATACACCAACAATTTCGTTGAATGGTAGATAAAATTACATCAAAGGGCCTTCCCCGTTGCCTTGTGCTTAAGTTAGTAACAAATTCAACGTACCCCTCTATTTCTAGACAGCATACATATTCTTCTCTATATATATTGTTCCCATACTTCACATACTTCGCGTACCTCTATCGTGTCTATATCACTTGGGAACAAAGGACCTTCAACTTGAGGAAAAAAAACAAAGAAAGAAGAAGAAGAGTCAAGGCTTCTTTAGCAGGAAGGAAGAGCAGTAGCAGCCATGACTGTTTCATCTTCTCTTTCCGTTGCCAAAAATGGCAGAGTCCTCATCGCCGGTGCCACCGGTTTCATCGGGAGGTTCGTAGCTGAAGCCAGCCTCGCAGCCGGTCAACCCACGTATGTTCTCGTCCGGCCCGGCCCCCTGCACCCTTCTAAGGCTGACACCGTCAAGTCCTTCAAAGACAAAGGCGCAATAATCTTACACGTATGGAAATAATTCTCTGTGCAAAATATATCCTTTTTTTTATGACTTTACATGCATTTATAATTTTTGTACACTTTATCATGTTTTGATATGTTGTAATATTGACTATTTTCAGGGGCTGATTTCTGATAAAACCCTAATGGAGAAAATGCTAAGAGAGCATGAAATCGAGATAGTAATATCAGCCGTGGGTGGTGCCACAATATTGGACCAGATTACCCTAGTCGACGCCATTGCGGCAGTTGGTACAGTTAAGGTAAATATAAATTATATGCTTTTTGGAAAACAAAACCATATAAAAACCAAAATATCTTTATATATTTTGTAATTAATTTTTCTGCAAAATTTATTTGGCAGAGATTTTTGCCGTCGGAGTTTGGACACGATGTGGACAGGGCTGATCCGGTGGAACCAGGGCTCACCATGTACTTGGAGAAACGCAAGGTTAGACGTTCCGTCGAGAAATCCGGGGTACCCTACACTTACATTTGCTGCAACTCGATTGCTTCTTGGCCCTACTTTGACAACACCCACCCTTCTGAGGTTCTGCCACCGTTGGATCGGTTCCAAATCTACGGTGATGGCACCGTCAAAGGTATGATAGACACGTAGACATTTTGTTTGTGAATTTGCAGGGGTACAGTTTTCTCTTAATGTCGTTGAAGTTTAAAGCAAGGCCAGCTAAAAGAGACAGATATCCGTAGGACTCACCTTTGCTTATATTCAAAGAAACGTATTATTTGATCCAAAATAAATAACTAATTTATTAGTAATAATAAAAGTCATCATACAATTATTTCTCCACTATTTTTACTATCAAGAGTGGAATAATTCTTAGAGTAGACACTTAACAACCACCGCAATTATAATGTGAACCATTGTTCTTTCACCAACTAAAGTCTAAGTAGTTTACTTTAGGGAAATAATATCTACCATTGGTTAATTCTAATTCACAAGACAACTATTATGAGCTTGTTTGAAAATATTTTTAAAATGACTAAAAATATTTTTAGAGAAATATTTTGGGTTCTAAAATCACTTAAGGTGCTTCCTTAAGGTGATTATTTAAGGTGAGTCCTATATTCATTGACATAAAAACAAAAAAAATATTATTTTAAGTCATTGCGATTAGCCAATGGTGAGGATGTATAAGATGAAGGAGAAATTTTAGAAAGTGATACTTATCTTAATTGATGAGGGCAGTTATTTTTATTAACCTTAACTGACGAAATGAATCATTTTTATTGATATATGTTAAAAAAATGAAATGACCATTTAACTACAACAAAATATAAAATTATTTACGACCTAAACCAATTTTTTTTATAAGAAAAAAACCTAAAATAATATATGATTAGGTGTAAGTCACTATTATCATATCATTATTTAATAAGTATAAAATAACTCTTGAAATAAATAAATAAATAAAAATTAATAATAATTTTTATTAATTAATAAATCCTCTTTGTCAATCAAAAGAGGGTGAAAAGACTACTTAGTCTTCTATTACAAAAAAAAAAATAATAATAATAGGAAATAATGTAATTTCATAGGTTCAAATTTTACTGTTTTTTATTAAAGTCTCACCTATAAGTGATGTTAAAATACCTTCCACATTAAAAAAAAAAAAAAATTAAAAACCTCCTTCTACCCCCACGTTCTCTCTCTCTCTCTCTCCCTCCCTCCCTCTCTCCTTCTCATTTTCTAAAAATATGTTTGTACATACAAAATGTGTAGATAAATGGTAGTTATATTGAGGATAGTTTATTAAAGAACGAACTGTTTTTTCTTTTGCCCTGATTTGGTAGCAAGAAAACATTTTCTTTTCTATAAAGGGTAAAAATATTAGTGTACCAAAAAAAAAATGCTATCCACGCACTTCGAGGATGATGGAGGGAAGAGAAAGAAAATACATGTTACTTAAACGGTTAGGATTTGGCCCAACTTATGTTTTTTGCGAGGGACTTTTATCATGGTGCACATGTTACTTACGTATCTAAATAACAACTGTTAAATTTATACGAACGAACGAGATAAAACCTTAACTTAAGTTACAACCGGGATGCCAAACCTTGAATTACAGAATCCGGTAGTTGTCTATCTTCTCGCTCTGGGCGTCTGTCTCTCTCCTCCCTTCCCTTAGGCAAAACCTCAGTTCCTATCTAGATCTAGAGCACTGCTGCCATCGCCAACAACTCTTTTGAATCAGATGATGGCCGGGTTAAGTGTTTGCGTTGATAATTTTGGAGGAAATAGAACTTGATGGAGGTCCTGGGGAGGAGTGGATTTGGGTGGCTTGAGGGTTTTTGATAGATGGAGAGTTGAGTGGTTAACGGAGGTACAGTCGCCAACGGATTATAATCTTTGGGCGGAGGTGTTTGGCCAACGGTGGGGAGAGGTAGGGGAGGTGACCATGAGAAAGAGGAAAAGGTGGCAACTTTCGGCACCCGTTAAGGTTGATAGGTGGGTAAGAAGTAAATGGGTAAATAAAATGTGCACGCAGACGTGCTTTTGGTGAGGGGTGAGTTGGATGGATGTGCGGAAACATGGAATTTTGAATATTCTAAGCCGCCCACGTGTAGGGTACTCCCTTCTCCTCAGCACCAAACTTGTCTGCTCTTGTTAGGCCGCCCAACCTCCAGCCCAAAGGTGGGGCCCACTTTAGTCGGTCCCACAGTTCATTTAGTGTTCAATATATTATTATTTTCCAAGGTTTAAATGTCTCTCCATCGACTAGTGGATGTGTTTGATGGTATGTCGCTCTTGGTACGATGTACCTGCCATTAATTTCCAAGGTACGAAAGAGAAACCTACGTTACGTATAATATTTGGTATTTTACTAATATTACACATCATACACGTAAGCATTTTTGTAGAATTCAAGCTTACAGCTCGACTTTTGATATTATTTTTTACTTTGTTACACAAAATTTAAGGCCGCAACAACGATAATTATTGTCGGCACAATCGCCTTGAATGACATGAGTTTTGTTTGATTTTTGTACACAGCCTACTTTATTGACGGTACTGATATCGGCAAGTTCACAATGAAAACGGTGGACGACATCCGAGCAATCAACAAAAATGTTCATTTCCGACCGCCGAGCAACTTATACGACATCAATGGGCTTGCATCTCTGTGGGAGAAGAAAATTGGCCGGACCCTCCCTAGAGTCACCGTCACTGAAGATCACCTACTAGCCCTTGCTGCAGGTCACTTCCCTCTTTAATCTTCTTTACCCACATTTAATTAGGCATGTTTTCGGGACCAATCGTTTGATACCATAAATTAATGATAGAAAAAAAAAAACCATATATATATAACAGATGTTGATTAGGTTAGTTAGCACCGAAGTAATATGTCCATCTTTTGAACTTGAGATCGGAGGTCTTCATGTAGATTAGAGTGGTTTAAACAAAATTCTAAACTACTCTAATCTACATGAGAGAAATCAAAACTTGAATACATGGAACCAAAACATTGCTTCGGCCAACTAATCTAACCTACATATGAAAATTAGACTAGTATAGAATATATATATATTAAGTTGTCAACATGTAATTTGTAACGAGTTAGAATTTACTAATCGCAGAGAACCGTATACCAGAAAGCATAGTGGCCTCGTTCACGCATGACATCTTTATCAAAGGATGTCAGGTTAATTTTGCGGTGGAAGGGCCTCGTGATGTGGAAGTGGGAACTCTCTACCCTGGAGATTCTTTCAGGACCTTGGATGAGTGCTTCAATGACTTTCTTCTCAAGTTGAAGGACAACCTAGAGCTACTGCAAGAGGAGGAGGATCAGAAAGTCTCCACCGAAAGCACCGTTGTGGAATCCAGGGCTGTGACTGCCACTTGTGCTTGATCACATCAAGACCGTCGACGACGAAATTCATGTTCTGGATTTATTACTAGGAAAAGAAATGTTCCAACAGTTTGGGGGTGAGCTTGTTATAAAATTGGTATGGAGGGGGGGGGGGTTTCTAGGTTTTCTTCGAGGAAGATACTAATTTGATTGTTTTTTTCGCTGGACAAGGAAACTGGATTTTCATTTTACATTGTTAAAAAGAATTCCAGTTTGTTGTGAATGTTGGATAATTCAATTCAACGTAATAATGTAATAAGTCTGGTAATTATTTGAGATTATTAAGTATTCGATATGTTTAAGTGGGATTCTTATCCCATAAATTTGCAATGCTAACAAGCTTTTACATTAACAAGTATTTGACTAAGACAATGTGTGCCCCCTTTTTGCGTCAAAGTTAGAATTCATTTCTTCGTAGTTTAGGTTAAGTCAGCGTATTGCTCCAAAATGAACCAAAACAAAAAGTTCAAGATGAACAAAACCCTTTGCTTTTCCATAGGTCACATAACTTTACAGATTGTAATGACTTTACATAAAGGTAATTGAAAAAAAAAAAGCAGAACTGAATTTCGATTACGGGATTCTTCACTTACCTCAATCGTGTCAAAAAAATCACTTGGATAAAAAGGACCTTCAACTTGAGGGGAAAAAACAAAGAAAGAAGAAGAAAAGTCAAGGCCTCTGTAGCAGGAAGGAAGAACAGCAGCAGCCATGACTGTTTCATCTTCTCTTTCTGTTGCAAAAAGTGGCAGAGTCCTCGTCGTCAGTACCACCGGTTTCATCGGGAGGCTCGTAGCTGATGCTAGCCTCGCAGCCGGCCAACCCACGTAAGCTCTCGTCCGGCCCGGCCCTCTTCACCCTTCTAAGGTTGATTCCGTTGAGTCCTTCAAAGACAAGGGCGCCATCATCTTACATGCAAGGCAAATTTATTAAGGGACCAGGGTGATCTCGGGACCACTCGGAAGCTTGAATAAATGGCTGTGAGAATCTCCTACGACCACCCAAGCTGCTTTCAATCAAATTTAACTTTATAAAATATAATATACATAATTGTCTGTGTCGCTTATTCCTCACGCCACCCAAGCCAGCGAAGGCCATCAACATCAATATCAAAATTTTTGTAAGTTTTCTAATTTATTGTTAGTTCATACTTATTTTTTGTGTTAGTTCATACATATTTATTATTAATTTGTTAGGATTTTTAGTTTTAGTTTTTTATTTTATTTTTTAAGAACACTAATTAAAAACAAAAAGCTGAACAGTGAATACATATATGTAAGGGTCTTTGATAATGGTTTTTGGTAAGGGTTTTTGATAAAAAGTCAAACAATCACACACTAACGGATTTTAAACTAAGTTCAGTCTTATTCATTGTTAATTTCTTAGGTTTTTTTCATATCTATTTTAGTGTTAGTTCATACATATTTATTGTACATTCGTTAGGATTTTTTTATATTAATTGAATTGTGGTACAGTATTTTTTTTTTTTTTTGTCGAAGTTGTAGCTTGCCATTTATTTTTCAATGTTATTTTCGTTTTTTTTTTCTAGAACTTTTATATTAGAATTATCAATGTTAAAATTTTGGATCCACTACTACTTACATGTATAGAGAGATAATTCTCCGAAAATAATTATCTCTGCAAGAACCAGGGCTCCCATGTACTTCGAGAAACGCCAGATTACAAGTTGGGTCGAGGAATCTGGGTTGCCCTGCACTTAATGTTTTTTTGTTTTTGTTTTGGAAAACGCCCTACACTTACTTTGCTGCAACTAGATTGCTTCTTGGCCCTACTTTGACAACAACCACCCTCCTGAGGTTCTGCCACAATTAAAGCGGGCTTTTTATTTTATTTTATTTATTTATTTATGAGTATATTAATATTTTTACATTAAGAGAGTAAGAAATTTGGTAAAGTCACACAATGAGCAGTCTACTTTGGCATCGAATTCGTCATCTACAAGATTCGAAGCTAAAACCCCTTATTTCCAAGTGAAGAGGAATATCATGAGACCGTATTACTGAACAACTAAAGTGGGCTATTAGCTCAGCAATAAAGCGCGCAATTGTCTGTGCCTAGGCTGTTAGATCGGTTCCAAATCTACGGTGATGGCAACGTCAAAGGTATGATAGAAACCTAGATATTTTGTGTGTGTGAATTTTTTTTTATTTTTTGAACAATAGTTGTGAGTGTGTGAATTTGTAGCAAATATTTTGTTTTTCCAATTAATTAGGGGCACACATGTTTTTCTTTAATGTCGCTGAAGCTTAAAGCAAAGCCGGCTAAATAGGAGAGATTGGTAGGACACACTGTTGCTAATAAGATTCAAAGAAACGTATTATTTGATCCACCTTTATAAAGTAAACTGAAAAGAAAGAAATAATTTACTAGTAATAATAAAAGTCATGCTGCAATTATTTTTACCATAAAGAGTGCAATAATTCTTAGAGCAAGCACTTTACAACCGCAAATACCTGTGAACCATAGTTATTTATTTCACCACTAAAGTCTAATGAAGTAGTTACGTTAGGAAAATAATATCAACCATTGGTTAATTCTAATTGAAAAGAAAACTACTATAATCTTGTTTAGAAGTGTTTTTAAAATGATTAAAAACGCTTTAAGAAAAATACTAAATACATACCTTCATATGGTTTAATAAAATGCCATATGATATAGCAACCTATCTTTTTCGTACTTTTGTAATTAATGGCCACATGTACATGTGAGTTACAAGACATTACGCACATTAACTAGTGTCCGAAGGAAGAGAGTTTCTCGAACGAGAAAAAAATTCTAAGGACTTTATAATAATTGAACGAAAAGCTGTATAAAATAGACTTTTCATGTACAATTCTGTAAAATGACAGTAAGAATAATTTATCGCTCAACTTTTCTTATGTTTTAATAAAATGTCATATAATATGGCTTTTTCGTATGTTTTAATAAAATGCCATGTAATATAGCTACCGACCTTTTTCGTACTTTTGTAATTAATGGCCACATGTACAGGAGGGTGACAAAACATCAAGCACATTCACCACTGTACGGATTGTGGGACTGCATAAAGTGGGCCCCATCTTTTTGGTGGGCTGGGCACGGCCCAACAACCACAGACGAGTTTGGTGGCGACGAGAAAGGATTCCCACCGCAGGTGCGCTGCTTGGAGTAGTCCAAATTGCTCTTGTTGCACATCCATCCAACTCACCACAAGGGCGCTTCTCTAGTGCACATGTCTATATGCACATGTTATTTACACATTTACTTCTTAGCCGTTAGATTAATCTTAACGGCTGATGTTGAAAACTTAATTTATGTTAGAACTGGATATTTACGACACACCAACATCGTTGAAACTCGAAAGTTGCCACTTTGTTCCTCCTTCTCCTGGTCGCCTCCCATACCTCTTCCCAAGAGTGGTTGGCGATGGCAGCAGTGCTCTAGAGACCAACTCATGTAGGCCCAAGAACCGGGCATAACCTCTCTTTTGCTAGGTTTTGTTCTCTCAGCAAAATCAAAATAATTCAAAAATGAAAAATGAAAAACAAGTTTTCACGCATAGTTAAAATAAAATATTTTACCAAATAAATAAATAAAAAAGGATTCGCATGTAAAATAGATTATTAGAGGAAGAACATTTTAGTAATCATATTGATTTTCATTCCGATTCATGTTTATTATTAAACAACTAATACGGTTCAATACTATTCATACTCCGAGTCCAAAAAAATTCAGTAAATAGTTTTAACAAGAATCCGACTTTGATTCTACCCCATTCCAACTCCTCGATTCAATTCCTCTCATTCAGAATATAGATAGTAGGCGAGCCATAAATGTAAAGATATGGACAAGAAAATTCAATCAACACCTTTGAAATTGGTGACTAAAACGACATTATATTTACAACTTTTTTGGTATTATATTACAACATGAAGGGCATGGGTGAAGAAAGAAGAATTTCCAGCTTCCAATTGCTTGATTCAACCTAAAATCACAAGCAACTTAAGAGTTCTGGAGCTGCTGGTCTTCAGGCCTACTTTACACATGATATATCGGCAGTCGCTGTTCAATGCAGACACGGCATATGGGGCATTTTTTACACTTCTCACAACAAGTGCTGAAAATGCATTAAGAATAACGAATTCGATGAATCAAATCAACGTAAATTGTATACGCCGGTAAATAATGTGCTGCGAGGGTGTGAATGGGTACATTACGAAGGTACCTGCAAAGAACGTGATGCCGGCATGGAAGCAGGACTACATTAATCTGTTCTTCAAAGCATACTCTACATAGGATCTTTTCCTGCGGGATCCGGCAAAAGCAGGTAAGGCTCGTGACATTTATGAAAACAACATTGAAATTTTCGTTATTCGTAATTGAAAATATTAAAAGTCGCAGTTGAAACATTACATTCTGAAGTCTTTCGTACTCCTGCTGGCTAAATTTCGTGATTTCTGTTTGCTCACTGAGTGCAGCTTGCAGTTTCCAAATCTGAGATAGGAAAATAGAAGTATTTAAAGGACTATTATTAGCTGACATTACATGTATCCAATATCAATTAGACAGTATAACAATGGTGAAACCAAGACAAATGGTTCGATTAAGAGGCAGCCGTCGGCCAAGAGAATAAAAATGGTGTTTACCTCCTCAACAAGGTCGATCTAGGCAACTTCTTCACTATATCGGGTGAAAAGGTGTTATACCTGAAAAAAAGATCGAAGCAAAAATTGACGACGATGACTTTACAAGATACATCTATTTTCATGCAATGTAAATGGCATCTATATATGCAACAGAACTTACAAGGGGAAAAAACACATAAGAATCAAAACGGCAACATATTCTATCAATGCAAATTAGTTTGTTTAGTTGATTAGGTCATAGAGGGGAATCATTTTAGCAACTGACGCAATGGAAATACGAGGCACAAACAGCAGGACCTGTCTAGATTACTGAAGGAAGAGGAAGGAATTTAAAAACGTATAGCAATAACTAAATTTTAATTTCAGGTGAAAAGAAAAGGATCATTATAATTCCGTTGAGAAATCCTTTACATTACAGTCTTGCTGTTTCTGAAATTAGAGAATCAGTACAGAACAATCATATGTTACTACGAGAATATTTGTGAGTGCTTTTCGCAGCATACAAACACTCCTTATAACCAAATAAATGCATCCGTTAGTGTTTGCCTGAAACAAATAGAAGCTTTTTGGGGTTAGAGTACTTTAATAAAAGTGCTTGAGCTTCCAACAAAAAGTGCGATCGATTGGTCAAAAGTTGAAAGATGGAAGA